TTGTAGACTCAGGCCAAACGGGGATGCCGACAAGTCAGAGGCGCCTCTACCTGGCGCCTCCTCGCATGCTAATAAACCGGTGACGGATCCAGGCCTAACAAAGAACTTCAACTGCGGCATTTTCAATTTGCTGTCGTTATTCTTCGAGGAGGAGAAGGTACAAAATAGCACCGGAATTGGGCGCTCGCCGCCAGCCGCTAATAAAGCCTGTATGTTATTCAGAATTACAACCCGTCCCGGGCCGTAAGGACACTGGTAAACAAAGTCCGATAAGCTGCTATTTTAATTTTTCCATGGACTCCACTGATTGCGGTCATACTGAATGATAGATCGCAGCATGGCAACGTGTGGGTATTTTTGCTTCCATGTAAATAAAGTTTATAGGTGTTCGTTTTTCCCCATTAATCGTCTATTGTCCTCTCCCCACAGCTCAACGAACTTCAGGAACTTATTCAAGTTGAACGCTTGCTAACCTGTATGCTTGGTCCTCCAAAAGCTGAACATCGACGTACGGGGATGATGTCAACGAGGATGCGCCAGCTAGTATTAATGGGTGTAGCTACAATCATTTGTTATACACTCATATCCTTCAACTCTCGAAATTTTATCGGTCACTTATCTCGACCAAAAGACGCAGGTACAGCAGGGCTTCGTTTAACTGTCCCGCAGCGTGAATACCCCTGGGAGGAGGTACGTTATTTGGGGTAGTCTACCATTATATAGTGGCATTCTCAACCGTGATGCGCAGGATATACCTAGCACCACCTTCCAATGGAAACCTTGTTATACTAGGAAACAGTGCTCGAGATTGATTGTATGTCGCCGTCTCGCTTCTTTAGTACCTTCTACGACACGACATATTGTTGAAATAGGTACCTCTAAACTATTCAGATCCCTACGGCGAGAAGGCGACCATTGCTGTGATCAAGAAACCGGCTCTCTTTCCTGTGGACTCAAAAGAGTATAAAGGGCCTGTACTTCTCAATCCCGGTGGTCCCGGTGGAAGCGGGGTAAACTTCCTCGTTGGATCTGGTGACATGATAGGGACTATTCTTGGTCCTCAGTTTGACATCATCAGTTTTGATCCACGAGGTACGTTCGTATTTTGACGCTATCAAGTTGAAGTTCTATAAGCAGCGATGTTTAATTAGGTGTTGGGCGCTCAACTCCAAGAGCCTCATTCTTCAAATCAGATGCGGAACGTGCATTGTGGGGCGAGGATATATCTTTCGGGCTGGTGAATAATTCTGTGGAGGGCGTATCTCGTACTTGGGCTCGTGCACAGATAGTAGGAAAGCTTGCAGAAGAAAGTGACACAGGTCATCTTCGACACATAAACACCGATCAAACAGCTCGCGATATGTTGACCATTGTCGAAGCATTCGGACAAAGGAAGATCCAGTACTGGGGATTCTCGTGCGTGGTACCTCGAACGCCGATTGATTTTATCTGATGATAATTTTCTTTAGTTATGGTTCTGTCCTTGGAGCGACCTTTGCTGCCATGTTTCCTGTACGCGGATGGCTCACAGACACGAATTTATCTAATCCTCACTATTTTGCATAAAGGACAAAGTGCATCGTCTCATTATCGATGGTGTTGCAGATTCTGAAGATTACTACAGTAGTAAGTTCTCCAATGCTCCGCTTCACTGCGTATCTGAAGTCGCCCTTAAAATGGTAGACTTGTGGTCGAAGAATCTCCTTGACACAGACAAAGCTCTTCAAACCTTTTTCACCGGGTGTGTAGCAGCGGGACCAGAAAGTTGTGCCTTCCATGCACCTAAGGCAAGCGATATAGCTAAGAATCTCACAACGATTCTTGACTCTCTCCGGAAGCAACCAATCCCAGTGCGCACGGAGAGCGCTTATGGCTTATTGGACTATGCTCGACTGAAAGGTACAATCCTTCGTGGACTATATTCGCCTTATAGAAGTTTTCAGCCACTTGCTAAGGGTCTATCCGATCTTGTCGCGGGGGATCCAAAGACACTCTTTAAACTGGCGGAGCCAATGCTACCTCTATTTGAATGCTCATGTGATTCACCGAAGAACTTGAGGGAGATCAACGATGCTGCTAAAGCAATTATGTGTAATGACGGAGATGATGTTCCTGGCGACTTGGAGTCGGCACAAAAGTTCTTTGATACTTTTATTAAGGAATCGCAATGGGCAGAAGTATGGGCTGATGGTAGGATTGGTTGTTCGTGAGTGTATTTCTATCTACCCGACGAGTGACAGTCACTGAATCTAATATCCAGCGGATGGCCCAAATTTCCCAAAAACCACTTCCAAGGTATGCCTTTCCACGCATAGCTTCTTGCACATTAATTCTGATACACTACTCGTTTCACAGGACCTTTCATTGCGAATACAAGCCATCCAATCCTTCTCATAGGTAATACTGCAGGTAGGTTAACTTGATTAAATAGGAGATCATCCTCGCAGATCAGATCTGATCACGGTTATTTCTAGACCCAGTAACACCCCTCTGGGCGTAAGTACTCTTCACAATAAACTACTTGCAAAGCTTACAGGTAAATGACGTGTAGCGCGAAAAAAATGTCCCGCGGGTTCAATAATTCTGTTGTTTTAACGCAAGACTCTCCAGGTGTACGTCATCTATTCTTAACTGAGTACAATGATATCAGTCAGTCGTCTAGGATACTAATACACATAATCTGCCTCGCCTAGCATTGCTCGCTCGCAGCACCCTCCCTCTGCACACAGCAACATGTGCGAGACTACTTCTTAAATGGTGTTCTTCCGAAACCTGGAACTATATGCTCTGTTTCTACAACCCCCTTCCCAAGAAAAACCCTAGATGGGGAAGAACAATTTCCCCTCGGGCAAGCAATGACCGAAGAGGAACGTTCCATGTTTCATGCGATTCATGCATTGAGCAAGACGTATCCCATTACAGCTCCATTCTAGGATTACCTTAAAACTTCTGCCATAATCTGAATTTTCATTTAAATACTTTGTAAAGTGTAAGCATATACGTTCCCGTAAACGATCAACAACAACGAAATCTTTGGTATACATGTAAATTTGAAGGTACCAATATCGAGTTGTTTTACACCTGTTCTAAATTGTTTCAAATCCCAACAGATATTCATGTTACATCCGACTAGACCCTACTGTACAATGTTTCCCCTAGAATGACCCAGTTCACCATATGACAGCTCAACGCACTAGGAATCGTTTCAAGGAAGGGAAAATTCCACTAAGCCTAGCTCCCCAATGTCCCAGACCTTCGTGAATTTCAAGCCAGCTGCTTCTCCAAGCCGGATGAACTCTCCACCCGTACGTTCCTCGCTATTCAGCATGGTTATCATATCAATATCGAGATTATACTGCCGGATTTCCACCTCTTGATTCTTCACTATTCATTCCATTGGCGATAATCAACCAGGACTGGGATATATAATTTATAGAGTAGTATTGAAAAGCTTGTATAATACTGAGATTAGCTATCAAAGCGATATGTTTTATTAAAAAAGAATGCCTATCCGGGCTCTCACCGAACATAGATAATAAATGGCATATTACAAGAGGTCAAAATATATCCAAATAACTCGAAGGTTATTATCAACCAACTATATCAACTGCTGGTGAAATTGACATTGACCATCATTTCGCATTTATTCACCAATCAGCCACAGCTTCCAAACTACACCTTTTCTTTATCCATCATGCAAAGTGAGTATGCCATTGATACAACCTCCACCGTTGTCATTGACCAGTTTTACAGCAGATGACTTTCATCTGCCGCCACCTCCCCAGGGGTATACACATCGTCAATACTATGGCTTCCTCCTGCCTAGAGATGTTGCAACAACTTGGCACAAGACATATTGCGAAATTTATGGGATTGACCTGAAGATTCCTAACCCTGTGTTTCCTAATGAGTTTCTTATGCTCAACAGTCACCCTGTTGCTCGAATGTCTTTGGAAAAAAAGATTAACTGGCCTCGACTATACCATGAACCCGTTTATACAAATGATCAATTCAAGGAAAGGAGTATATGCATTGCGTTTGCAGAATACCCACAGAGATATTCGCCACATGCAATCCCTCCCCCTCTTACAAAGGCAGCAGTTATTGCACTAGCACAAGAATTAGCTTGCTGTGGTATTCATGTTGGGCCAAGTGATTTGCGTTGGTATTCATTTACATGGAGCCTGGATGAAGAAGCAGGCTTACCCTCCCGATGAAGCATGTGGTCACGACTCGCCACAGTAAGTTTTCTTAATACCAGTGATACCTCCCAATTTTAGTTCTCTTGAAACTATCCAGATGAATGAAAGGAAAGCTTTGCACCATCCAATTCTACTTAGGCTACCCATGGATCAATCCTGCACTTATGCTCTCAACCATGTTCATAACTATCTCATGTACCTTTGCCTCATACCAGTGAATGTGATCGGATACTGTATTGGACGAAATTCATTATTTATTTAATTGGTATCTTGACGGCTACTAACGTGGATTATGGTGTCTATTGCCTTGAAAGGATTTTATTGACCAAGGCAAACCACGACGATCAGCTCAATGTAGAGTGTGGGATTACGGACAATGTCTCCACTACTCTCCGTCCATTTAGCAACTATCTACGCCAGGAGGGGGCATATATCGACATGGTGGTGAATCCATTCACGCCTGTAACGAGAACATTGGAATGGGGAGAAGAACTGAAGGCATCGCAGAGAGTTGGGTGCTGAGGTGAGGGTGATTTCAGGTCTTGGTTGGACGATAGCTAATTATTGTAAGTCATCGTTGACAAATTATTGTAGACTCAGGCCAAACGAGGATGCAGACATTCAGAGGCGCTTTTAATAAAAACTTGTGATGGATACAGGATTTGCATCTTTGCTGTGATTATTCTTCGAGCAGAACGTAAGGGAAAATACGACGGTTTATAATGTAGGCGCTTACCGTCGGCTATTAATAAAACTTAAGTAACAAGTAATAGTAACGTCCGGGCAGATAATTGTATCTCGGGTATGGTGTAACGGCTAACATTGCCGCCTCTCATTTCCACTGGAAGCCGGATCGCGGCAGCTCGGGGTTCGATTCCCCGTACCCGAATATTTTTGTTATTGACGAACTGCTCAGTGTTGCTCTATAAATAGACTTAGGCATTCTACCAATTGGTAGCATAACCGAGTTCGTCATATTAGGAAACACAGATAATATCGCACTGTTTGATATCCGCTAAGATGGAGTTTCTCGAACGTTCCCTGTGACAGAGACCTCTCATCGCCGTTTAAATGTAGAAAATCCAAAGAAGGCTCCTCAGCGGTAATTATTATTGAACTACTTGGAAAGCGACATTTAACTCGGTTATGGTGTAACGGCTAACATTACCGCCTTTCATTCATTTGATATCTCTTCCAGATCGCGGTAGCTCGGGGTTCGATTCCCCGTAACCGAATCAATGGAGAAATGTGTAATTCACTGTCTTTTGCAATAAGAACATTGAGAAAAATTAGATGAACTAGGTGTCAAATTCTTGATCCGCGGAGCTCTACTTATCCAGAGCTCCAGTCATATAAGCTGGTATTGTCCGCAATATGTCATAGTCCTAGTTATTATTACGTTTCAGCTACTTTACAGTCGGGATGACTCGCGTAGGCATCGGATGTTGTAGCAATTCGTATTGAGTGTTTTTAGTAAATAAACCTTAAGCTTACTGGGACGTACTAGATACTTCGAGGACTTTGAAGTTCTGACTCGGTAGCTAGGCTCATAGTACTCACTGAATCGAATTTGGACTTTGCTTTGCGATTCTATCGTATGCATAGTACAACCAGTCGCCGTTTTCTGGGATTTTATTTGCTCCGTGCTCCCCTTCAATCTTACGAGTTTATTTACCATCTTCTTCTAGCAAAATCGTTCGCCATATCCACAAGGGATTCTTCCTTCGACCTGTATTTGGTAATACCAAGTATCTCCTTTGCTTGCGTTGTATCATACTTGATCATATAAAGCCTTTCCAAGCCAGGAATCCCTTTTGGAAGCGGACTTGAGAGTGTTGGGAGTGCGAGTGAGTTCGCGAGGTCAACTAGTAGGAAAAAACTTTAGTATCCTGACCATGCAGAAGAATATAATCTTAACATACTCCATTCTTGCCAATCATAACAATCTTTTATCACTATGAGCTTGAGTAAGCAAATGAAAAAGTGTAGTAACACACCACAGGAAATAATAAATCGATGTCCGCTTGCTTTCTCTTTCTGCAGAGCCATGATGTGAGCATCTGCAACATCACGTACGTCGACCCAGGAGGTCGATGCTTTAAGTGCTTCTTCAGACTTCGGACTATAAGTAGGAGAGAATACATGTGCATAGAAAATTTGAAGGGACGCATTCAGATTGAGTGGTGTGGTAACAGCATGGATGAATGGGCCATAAACCTGTGTAAACTCAGAAGCAGTAGTTGAATTACAATTTGTAGATTCATACCATCGGAGGATTTATTACAACCAAGTCCCATTCTACTTCAGCTTTATGCTTCTCATAGAATTCCCAAGCCGCTTCACAACGAGAATCAATTTCGAATATGAAGAACGTCGAGGATCTCAATAATCGCACCTCTCTCAGCAAGTGTCTTCGAAGCACGATACTTATGGTGGGGAGTGGCTTGCCTCCCTTGTTCTTCAACCACTTTTATAGAAGTGGTATTCCAGTCCTTTTCCGAGTACGTAGCCGGTTCTGGCGGATTTGGCGACGTGATCGCTCCACAAGAGGAAGTATAAACCACGCGCTTGATCTTTGATCTACAAACTGATACTGATTAGTAGCGACGCTATATAACAAGAACTAGCAAAGTATTGCTGACCCATGTTTCAGAATACTCGTTAATATACTAAGAGTTCCATTTACAGCTGGCTTGATATATTCTGAAATGAAAAGTTCGTTTTAGCACCCATAAACAGTAGCAACAACATACCTTCTGGATCTTCAATTTCTGTGATGGGGGATGCCATATGTTCAACAGCATCCACTCCCTTAACAGCGTCATCAAAAGCTCCTTCCTAAATTAAAGAAAATCTAGGATTTTCAATGAATTTGTTCTTGGAAAATTTCACACACCTTTGTAATATCCTCCACGGTTACAATTTCGAATCGCTCCCCAAATGACTTGCACAACTCCCTCAAATGCTTTCCCTTCTCTTCATTTCTCACGGTTCCCCGCACTGAATAGCCTTGCTGTAGAAGTCCTTGAACGACCCAAGCTGCGATGTAGCCGTTGGCACCAGTCACCAGAACTTTGCTTTCAGTGGAAGGGAGAATAACAGGCATGCGGTACGAACGTTGTGAGTCAAAGAGTATAGCCTCGAAAGATGCATTTGCTTATAATGATTGATCATGCCGTTCTGCTTCCACTTGATCATGATGGACTACCTCCGGTGATCATAACATTTCCGGCCGGCCCGTAGGAGCCAGAGGGAATAATGTGAAAGCTGGACGTATTTGTTATAAGGCGCAGCGCCATTATTAACCACGTGTTCTACTCGTTCTTTAAGTTGACGCAGCGGCGGTAGCAACGCTTCTATTCTACTGGCTAAATTAGAATCGTTAGCACAAGGGCTTGGCAACAGTAGTAGTAGACGCACCACCACCCCTCTTGAACCTTCACTGCCATGCCTATTTCGAGAATATGGGCGGGGATACTATACAGTACTCTGCAGCATGAGCCAGACCAAATGAAACCTATGATCAGCCGTAAGATCTGTTGGTCATGACCTCAACGCGATGATTATTACAGAAGTCCGATCGAGGTGGCTGCCATCGAATATAATACTAAAGTGATTCGGACACCCTGGACTATGACATTGGAGAGACCTTCGCCTTCGATCAACAAAATACGCTAGCAAGTTTGCTGGCACGCCTCAGCTTAACCTCTTCGCTTGGGCCTTTATCGAAGCCAAGCCTACTGGTCAGGCTGCAGTATTTATAAGAAAACGTCTAGTCATGATATCCAGCTGAAGATCAAGACATTATCGAAAGCTCGGATGTCCCATGAGTGGACGAACAGACGAAATGCAATCGATCGGGAAAAGACGAGCGACCGGTCGGCTAGTAGCCGGATAAAACGGGCCACTACTATCGTTATCTTATCAGTTGACGCATTCCCAGTTGACGCATTCCCATGTCTATTTGTGCTCATCCCATTATAAAGCATAAAACCTCTGCTTATTCACTACAGAATCCGTTTTTCGCTTTCAGATCTTCTACTATCATGCCTACACTACAGCCCCCCGCGCTCATTCTCGTATCTGGGGCCAATGGCTATATCGCCGTCTGGGTGGTGCGCCTTCTCCTCGAACGCGGGTTCCGCGTCCGAGGCACGGTGCGCTCCGAATCGAAGGTTCCGTATCTGCTACAGTATTTCAACTCGCTGGGTTACAATGAAGACAAGCTCGAGGTTATAGTTGTGCCTGATATCACTAAGGAAGACGCATTCGATGAGGCGGTGAAAGGCGTGGATGGGATCGAGCACACCGCAAGCCCGTTTCATTCGAACGTAGATGACCCTCATGGTGAGTTCAATCTAATTATAATCCATTATATTATTTACTTGATCTTGAGTTAGAATTCATTAATCCTGCGGTAAATGGCACTGTTGGAATCCTAAAAAGTGCGTTGAAATACGGCGATCGAGTTAAGCGCATCATCGTCACATCTTCCTGCGCCTCCGTCCTGTCTCTACCACTATCCAAACCCACTATCTTCTCGGAGGAGAACTGGAACACCGGTGCCCCGAAAGAAGTCGAGGAGCAGGGTCGTGCAGCGCCAGCCATGACCAAGTATCGCGCGTCCAAGGTACTGGCTGAACAAGGTGAATCAGATCTAGTTTGGTATTGCACTTCATATATTAACATTTGTGATAGCTGCGTGGAAGTTCTACGAAGACCATAAGAGTGAAATCAGATGGGATTTATCCGTTATCAACCCTCCTTACGTATGTCTCTTATCGCTTGTCCCTAATCCCTTCAGAACTAACTCTATATATAGGTATTCGGTCCTGCGATACAAGCCATCTCCTCCCCGGATCATCTCAATACCTCCCTTAGGCAGTGGTATGACGCCGTCTACGCGCCTTCTCCTCCCGCCGCTGAGCGTACACCAGCCCTTCTTTTGAACGCCAACGCATGGGTGGACGTACGTGATATTGCAGAGGCACATGTGCGTGCGTTGGAGAAAGAGGCTGCGGGGGGAGAAAGGATTATAGTGTGTGGTGGTATGTTAATTTATTCCATGCCATGGCTTTCTACTGAGTGTTGCCTTAGGTCTATTTACTTGGCAGGACTGGAGTGCGTCTACTTCCTATCTCCAATTTACTGCATCCCCATATTAACTCACTTGTCTTCCTTTTATCCAGTTAACACTGCAAACGCTCTTCCATCTCACCCTTCCCTCGCACACCCCCTTCCAAAAGGTGACCCCTCGCTTCTCCCTGAGGAGCCAAAAGAACGCGAGAAGATATACCTACTCAGCTACGACGTCAGTAAGGCCCAGCGGCTCCTCGATATTAAATATAAGACGATGGAGGAGACGACGCGTGATTCGTTGGAGTATTTCTCAAAGAAAGGGTGGTGATTAGGATGCGAATAGTATGTACGGCTAAGTACATATTTCAGTTTTGTAAAGGTCTGGGTGAAGCATCGTGGCAGCAACGTTAAACAAGCGCCCTAGTTTGAACTCTAATAGAGGGACTTTTGATAGCTGGATAACCATAGTGGTGTAACAAATCTTTATTAATAGATTGTGACGCAAAGAGGCATGGGTTTATTAGACATTCTCGAATTGATGGATCAATGAGAAGAGTATCTGGAAACAAATATATATTGGTCGATTGGGACGCATTGTGGAACAGCTGAGAAAGTCACAGTTTTTACCCTCCCATGGTTCGCAGCAAGTTAGACAGAGCCCACATCCTTTGATAAATTTGAACGGGTAATTGATAGAAATGATTCATTTAAAAGATACTTAACTGGTTCTTGTCAATACTTCTGCCCATCCCCGAGCTATATACGATGCTTATCAACATAAAATCTCTAACAATAACAGGATGAGGAACGCCAACCATGGTTAAACCTGCTTTCTTTAGATGATAAAGAAATTCCAAAACCAGGAGCATTCAAAATAAAAAACACGGTGAAATCTATTGTGTCCTTCCAAATATCACGAAGCCCCTGCCATGTATAGAGAAGTGCTGCGCATGAGAAAAGAATCCTGCAGAGGATGTTAACATGTGGCTGCTATTGCGCCGAGCTGTTGTGACAGAGGATTTCGAATTCAGGGCAGGGTCCATAAAAACGGCTTTTAGTGTGCGTAGAGTCGGGCTGCCGCTATTGGATATTTCTGGGCTTGCATTTATCGTATTAAAAATGGACTTGAGCATATCATTTGCGCTAATACGTCGAA